TTCAGTTTATGAAAGTGTTCATTTTATGGAAGTGTTCAGTTTACAGAGGTGTTCAGTGTATAAAAGTGTTCAGTTTATAGAAGTGTTCAGTTTACAGAGGTGTTCAGTGTATAAAAGTGTTCAGTTTATAGAAGTGTTCAGTTTATGAAAGTTCATTTTATGGAAGTGTTCAGTTTACAGAGGTGTTTAGTGTATGAAAGTGTTCAGTTTATAGAAGTGTTCAGTTTATGAAAGTGTTCATTTTATGGAAGTGTTCAGTTTACAGAGATGTTCAATGTATAAAAGTGTTCAGTTTATGAAAGTGTTCATTTTATGGAAGTGTTCAGTTTACAGAGGTTTTCAGTGTGTTCAATTGTTCAGTTTATGACCGTGTATATGCTGTCTGCATTGTTATATTACAATCTTCATACCTGGGCATTTAAGTGAAATTTAATAAGTCTAACCTGCATATATCTGAGCCTATTACATTTGTACATTTCTACAGCATACATTGAAAGGCAATTTTGAGGCAGCGAATTGCCTTAAGTTGCAGATGGTTGATTCAATTCTACAAAGAAAATAACTTCTTGTTATTTCTGCTTCTTTTGTATCTGTTTCCCATCAGAACAATGGATAGACGTGCTTGAAAATACAATCAAATCGCGTTGCTTTGTATAGCGTATAACTGTACACTCACCTTCTAACATTGATGTCGGACGCGATCTGCATACATTTCCTTCTGCACTCAGTCAGTCACCTTTAAGATTGATTTATTTAATTGACTGACCTTTTCATACATTCCCAATATTGGTTGTTGTTCATATATAATGACAGTATTTTCATGATATGAATGGATTTTTGTGGGGTTCTACGATGATTTGTTTTTTAAATGGCCTTGGTCTGTCTTTTTTTATTTTTATAAACAATTTATTTTTATTCTTATCTTTCCCGATCATCATTAGATGAAGAAAAAAGGTAATAGTCTGTCCTTGTTGTTGTCGTCTCCAGTGTGAACTTTTGTCTTGTGGTTACAATAACTCTAACAGTTTTCATCCTTTCTTCTCCAATCAGTCAATTATATATGCAGTGAAATTGTTTTTATTATGAAGTCATTCTTCCCAACAAAAATTAAGTACTTTTCCCACTAAATCTTTTGATTGGTTTTACAAAATTTAGCTTAAATTCCTAGCACAGTTCATGTTGCATTATTCTATAAGGGATGCTGAGATTAATACAGTATATGTAGTATTTTATATGTAAATACTAAAAACCTTATAAATATTCTCATTCATTTCTTGTCAGAAATGATACCGAGTATTTACTTATTTCTGCTCTGCATGACTGCGTACTTTTGTATTGTTCTTTTTGCCAAAAAGATGGCTTGTAATTTTTTTGCTTGTCAGAAATAATCGAGTGTGCTAAAACATTAGCTTACATGTATGACTACAATTCAGTAAATATTTTATCCAAAACATAATCATGACTGAATGTCCTAAGAAACATAATTTACTTTTGTTATGTTATGTTTTGTATGTCCAGCTGAGTGTTATTTTTGTTCCTTCCACCATTTTTAACAGTTAAATTGCCACCAGTCATCATTCTTGAATCGAATCCTTCTTATTTGTTATTAATATCGCAAGGTTTACATAATTACGCTATGTTTCTTTTATTGGAATAATAATGTACCATTTAACCATTTATCTTCTATAGAGCATACTTTGAATACCTGTTTACTACACCTGAGTTCAATGACCTGAAAATCCAGCTCTCTAAATATACCTCAATATCAATATTAATATTTATAGCTTATACAAAATGAAATATAACAGTAATCATAATTGAAACATGCTTATGAATAACATATATGTTTGGTTTAAGGGGAGGTGGGTTGGGAGTTGGGGTGCAAAAATCACAATACATTGTTTTCAAGGAAAAAGTCAATTTTAAGAATGAATACATGTACATGTGATGTATAGGGTGAAGGTAGTGTGTGTCTAACATTATTCAAAAATTACAACAGTATATCTGTTTTTTGCTGCTTATTTTAAAACATAGAAATTAATTGAAATGAAAACAACTCATAATGGCTATGTGTTCTGTAACATTGTATATACGTATTCTGATCAAATGTTATAGAAGTATAAATGGAACAATGTTTCCACATATTTTTAGCGCTTGAAAATGTTCGGTTATATGGGGAAGGAGGGGTTGAAGCTAGACAAATAGATCAGATTTGCCATGCACACATGTTTTAATTATTCATGGACCCTAAAACCCCTACACAACTACAAATGTTTCTTCTACTAATATTGACTTACGACATCACAGACTCTGTCGGCGTATTGACACTTTTATAAGCTATCTACATGTCCTCTGAGTTCTATAAGAATGTAAATTACAATAGTGACGCATTAACTCAAGCAAAATTCTAAAAGGGTTATTTTGATCTGCTGACGAACGCTGACTTACTTAAATGCCAAAGGGGACTTTTGTCAGTTTTCCACCTGTTTGAATGATATCACAGCGTTTGCGATGATCTTTGCAGTAAGATCAGCCTTTTTTCACTCAGTCTGAAATATTTCTTGGTTTTAGTTGATATACATCTTGCTAGTCAGGTTGACTACTTAATTTCCATTTCATGTTGGTACATTTCACAGGTTAGGTTTCTCTTTTTATATTTTAATTTCATGTCATTTAATATGTGTTATCATGATGTATTGTATGTTTTAGGTGCCACACCCAATTTTTTCTTTCAGTGATTCTATAAAAAAAAAATTGTTTAAATTTCTATGTATATGGTATTTTCATAGATTATTTACTTCCAACTGAAATATTTGAAAAATGGTTTGGTTATGCATAATTTGTTATCTTATTTTATTATTTTTTGTTACCACTTTCATGTCATTTAATTTGTGTTATGTATTGTATGTTTCTGGTGACACACTCAATTTTTCTTTCAGTATTTCTATACAAAAAAAAATGTTTCAATTCTTCTAAAAAAATTAAAATTACATAAAATCGTTTATTTACTTCCACCTGAAATGTTTGAAAAATGATATGGTGATGCAAATTTTTTGTCTTCATTTTATTATTTTTTTTGATCACTTTTATCTTACATTTTTAAAAATATTTTGGTAAAATTGTTAAATGCACCTTTGAAACTGACACATATGCTGACCAATGTAAATCTGTTTTATGAGACTTTCATCGTAATCTAACCGTGCTTACACACAAACAAAAGTTTAATTTATACTACCACTAGAGGGCAGTATAAAAGCTTGAACTTGAAAGAAATGTTTTATCATATCGTTTATTTCGTGACACAAAATGTATGATAACAATCAGATATCAGCTGTTGTACATGTAAATGTGCCTGAGATAAAAGATAGCGAGGTCATCATTTGTGGACAACAAGTGCACTATGCAAAAACTGATGTAAAGTAAGATTAAATTTAAATTAGAGCAGATCTCATATAATAATCTATACTTAAATCAAATTATTTTCTTATTTTTTCATCCATCACCTGGTGTTATTAATTTTCAATGTGTGTGTACATATGCTAATTCACAATATATATTGTAAAATGATTAATTTTTGCTTGTAATTTATTTTCACTATTTTCGCTGAAGAGATGATAAAAATCAGCAAATAAACAATGTTTTACATTCAACTCATTAAAAATCAATGAAAATAAACTTCATACAAAACAGTGAAAATTTATTCAAGCTTAAAATAAAGTATTTCACAGTATCTGGCTCCATCCCAGCTATATGCAGTACGATATAAGTGTAACTTAAAATTCCACTAGCTTTAAGCTACAATTTGTTACAATTTTCAAATTTGAGAACCTCTTCTTGAAGGTCAGAGGTCACGCAGAAACAATGACAGATACACGCAGAAACAATGACATTGTTTTGTGAGTTCAATTTCCTGTGATCAATTTCAACATTTAAAAAAAAAGCCATGAAATGTCTACAATACCCATTATACCTTTTTTTTTTCATAGTTTAATTTCCTAAATACATCATGTATCTTGAAATACATATGCACGTTCATTGGTTTGTGATCTGATTGAAGATGCATGAATGACGGCTATTTTGGGGCTAAAAATTAATCAAAATCAAGCATTACTGCTATTTTGAAACCTTCTCTAAGCTTAGCTATGCATGGCGAATATTGTTCAAACTTAGTACAGACATTTAACATGTAACCTTCATGCACCGTCATTGTTTTTTTTGTTTGGATTCAAAATGGCCGAGTGGACATTTTAACAACAGCTGTTCTAGAACCATATCACTGACATGCTCTGATTGTACATGTTCAAAATTTTTATTTCTTAAACTTGAGAATTCTTGGGGACTATCTGATGCATTTACTTGTTTAGCTGGTCTTCATTTTCGTGTCATGTGTCTTTTTGATTCAAATTATTTTGATTATGATATGGTGTCCCAATTTTTTTTTTTTATTTTTTCTTTGAAAACATTAATATTTTTGTTTTCATTTTTATAAATAGTAATAATGTGCACAATAAATTATATCATACATAGAGCATATATAGCATAAGAAATGGTGTCTATTATCACTTGCCATAATAAAAACAAAAGAAAATTCAATTTGGGCACAGAGGGCATGCTTCATACTTCATACACAGTGTCAATGCAACAATTCCTGTGTTTGAGAGTTTGAAATTAAGGGTTCTTTTAAACTGTTTGTCAGTGAACTCTGAGATTTTCTGTGAAAATACAAAAACCATAAGTGATTTCAAATTGTTCAACCCGTTTTACCACCAGTTCTTTTTTTTCATCACAAATTCACAAAATTGTCCTTTTTATAGTCTGCACTATCTTCCAAAAAGATTGGGGCAAAAACAGCAAAAGTTTTTGGGTAAATACTGAAAATTAACTCAAATTTGTCTGTTGGCTTCAAAAATAGAGAAAAAAGTGCAGAATAATTTGGCGAGAAAGTCTAAAAACTGTACTACATAAGATGTATTTAATGTACATTTCATTATATCTTCTAGGTCTCCCATTGGCTGCAATTATCTCGCTTTCGTTAGTTGCCTGCTTTGTATTGGTAGTAATTGTTGGCATCTTCTGTGCGAAAAGAAAGAAATCGCAGTGTGCTCGTGTGTGGATACGAAAACACAAAGTGGACAGTTCAGAAGATTCACATGAAAACTGCTGTTTCCATCTTGAAGCTAACTGTAACAATATGAACTCCACAATGAGCCAATCATCTCCGAATCCCAGTACGGATTCTAGCGGCTATGACTCACCGACAAGGATTTTACCTCGACAGTCGACCGTGCCTGTGATGACGTCAAAGAAAAAGCGAGAAATGTACCATCGGCAAATGTCACTGCAAGTTAATATGTCAAGTGTGGAATTTTCTGTTCAAAACGTCCAACGAAAGGAGCAGCCTCGTATAGGGAATCTTCGACCAGAGTTATACAAAACAGCCATAGAGAGCAATGGATCAGATGCTGAAGGACGAATTAATTTCACTATCAAATATGATCACCAATTTGAAACACTTATCATCAATATCATCAAAGCCATTGATTTACCAGCCAAAGACTTTTCCGGAACATCTGATCCATATGTTAAGCTGTACCTACTTCCAGATAGAAAGAGGAAGTTTCAAACAAAGGTCCATCGCAAAAACTTAAATCCTACATTTGATGAAAGTTTCAGTTTCAATGTTCCTTTCCAAGAAGTTCCAGAACGTAGTCTGCAGCTGAGCATTTATGATTTTGATCGGTTTTCACGACATGACTCAATTGGACAAGTTGTGGTGAAAAATTTAATGGAAAAATCTGATTTAAGTGTTGAAACTGAATACTGGATGGATATTCAGAAGAACACGCATGAAGTAAGCATTGAAAAATACTTCACAATATGCACATGATGTCATTTCTTGTTTGATGTCATATCCTCTGTATTTGATGTCACATCCTGTTTGTATGATACATTCTTTTTTCTGTTCAATTGTATCAATGTTTCCTGTATGTATTGATTGATTGATTGATTGATTGATTGATTGATTGATTGATTGATTAAAAGTATCTTAGAATTTCAATGATACATATGCAATCCCTCAGGATGAAAGACCATGATCTGATCATGTTTCAGATGATAGTCAATAAGTGAATTGTCAAATCATTCTCGACGAGTATCTCTGTTAGTGATTTTGGTTATTTGACGATCAAACACAGATGACTATGGAAGATCATCATATCACGGATATCAGAAAATCAATTTAGTTACATACATATAAATTTTTGTTACAGGATAAAGCTGACCTTGGGGAGCTGATGTTTTCTCTTTGTTATTTACCAACTGCTGGAAGACTCACACTGACAGTCATAAAAGCTAGAAATCTTAAAGCTATGGATATCACAGGTGCTTCAGGTAAAACAACATGTCACACTGGTTTTTTTATACTATCAACAAACACAGGCACTGTCATGTGATGATTTCACATTCTGTATGTGCTACGCGCCAAATAAAGATGATTTCATATCACATACTAACTATGCACTAGAATTGTACTGTGAACAAAGCACAAGTATACTTTGTAGTCATGGAACACTTCATATTGAATGGGAAAGTTATTATGTTGTGTACACGCAATTTTGAAATTAAATGTACAATTTTGTTGACCAGGACTGCTTAGGATGTTCAGTCAATTATTTTAGTAATGATATTGAATAGCATTAATTTTGTCTCAAACAAACAAGCCTGTTCACACTTCAATTGTGGTGTTGTAATATTAATGAAATGTTTGGGTGAAAGTGGATTCAAAATTATAACATAATACTCCAAGTATGTTGCAATAGTTGTACTGTTTAATTTTAACCTACTCAAACTGACATAGTAATAAAATTATATTGGCCAAGTTAGTGATCGAAAAACAAAAGAAGTCTGATGTGGTTTTGACTAGTAAATAAATACAATGTTTATGATGTCATAGTTTTTGATATTGTAAATTATTAACCAATAACAAACTGTTCAAAAGTTTAGAGAAAATTCTACTCTGTTCAGCATTCTTAGATTTTTGTTTATTGATTTTGTTGCTGACAGATCCGTATGTAAAGATTTCACTAATGTGCCAAGGAAAACGTCTGAAAAAAAAGAAGACAACTGTGAAGAAAAACACCTTGAATCCTGTTTACAATGAAGCTATCGTGTTTGATGTTCCACCAGAAGTAATGGACCAGATAGCATTGTTGGTAGCTGTAGTAGACTATGACAGGTAAGTACAAAAGTGACCTCCATCTGTTGTAGATTATGATAGAACTTCTTTTAATATTTGTGCCACCAAAAATAATAATAAATGAATGATAAAATAATAAATGAATGAACAATGAATGGATACAATAATAAAAACATGGTGTTATTGGCTTATTTTAAACTGTGAGAACCAGAAATGGTGGATTTTGATGCATTTTACAATTAAAATGACCACTATTCAATTTTCTTGAATCAGATCATCAAACAAACCTTGTACATGAGTATGTGTGACATAATGTATAAAGTTCTAATCAAATCACGTTAAAGATATCTCTTAAACATCAATGTGCCATGATGTACCACATTTGTACAAAATCTTATTACATACTCGAGATCCAGTTCCAATATGGCAGAAATTCTTGAATTTCTTTATTTGTTAGCACAAAATGGCCACCACTCAGCCATCTTTAATCACATCATGAACATGTGTACCCCAAGATGCATGATGTATGTGTGAAGTTTGAATGTTATCAGCCCAGGCATATCCAAGGTAGAGTTAGAAACACAAGACAAGGTGCAATCTGCAAGTCCCTGTATTCGTACTGCATCACATCAGGGACCTATTGTTTTAGATTGAGAAGTTATTTGTTACTGCAAATCTAAAACTCATACCTTACAACTTCCGTCTGTAGAGTTGGTCACAGTGAACTAATTGGTGTAACAGAAGTGGGACCCAATAGCTGTGGTATCGGAGGAGATCACTGGGGTGAGATGATAGCACAACCTCGTAAACCAATTGCATATTGGCATCCACTTTTGGAGTCAGTGGCAACACTGAACAGTGGCTCTATGGGGAGTCTTAAAGGTTGTATGACCCCGCAGCAGTCATTTGATTGAATATACAAGAGCTCTATCATAGAAGCCATGGAATCGAATATGGAAATGTGGTTCCTATGATGATGCCTTCAATCTGCTTGTTGCATCACATATTGAATAATTCAAGACTGGTGTAATTGTCCGAAGATACCAACTTCATCAGCTGAAGACACTGAAAGTGTTGTTGTCAATTGAATTCACCATCAAGAATGAAAAAGAAATGCGCTGAATGACAAATTGAGAGGAAGTTTTGACAAGCATATCACTAAGTTTGAGCATAATTATTTCAAATATTCTTTCTACATTTTACATTTTACCTGTCAATTTACATTGAATTGCGTGGCTCAAATTATTATGCCTCACAGTTTTATTGATTTTCTTTTATGAGAATATGATGTATACTGGCGAGATAAGCTTGTAATGTGCTGTCACATAGATATCACTGATTACTGTTGGCGCTAACAAAACACAACATATCAAATTATTGTACTCAAATATATTGTCTCATTCTGATGATCAGTTTCATTTTATATTGTCTTACTTAATGGTTTAAATATAATAATGATATTTTCAAAGTTTACTTCAATGTAGTGAGCATTTTTCCCACTGAAAATAACTGGTTTAAGACTTTTTCTTGTTTTATAAATGTACAACTTTTATTGTGTCATCTAGAGGAAAATTTACATTTCAAGACAAATTGGAGTAGAATACTTCGTCATTTTTTGAATAGTTTTAGTTGTTACAATTAGTTCATGTATAATGATGTCATTGTTATATCAACTAGAACAACTACCTGTTTATCACACAATTCAGCATTGTCCCATATGGCATGGATTTTGAACTAATTTAAATATTCATGGGAATACAGGTTTCAAACATGAGCACTGAGACATTGCCTTCTCTCTTGTTCCCAATCCCGTTTTTTTTGCCAAACTGGAATCATTTGCTGCTTTGCCGCTGCAGTGATGCAAACTAACTAAATTAAACAGGGATACAATTTTTTGTCATAAAGTTGTTTGCACAAAATATTTTTTTGTAGAAAATTTGTCTGAAAAAATACAAAAATATATAAATTCAATCTGAATCCATAGAATAATTTTTTTCAAAACAATATTTGTCGAAATTCCCGGATAATTTTGACAACTATAATAATACCTATAACAGTATCCATTTGTTGGGAAAATTTACTGTTAAGTTCAACTTAATATAATCGATCTGCCAGTGGACCTTTTGCGTGACATATTCATTTCATATTTTACTTAACTATATAATTAGTTATAATTAACATTATGCACATTTTTCTACCATATGTTTTTATAGAATGTCGCTGTTGTTGCAAGGATATTTTGTATATCTGAACTCTAAACGGTGCCAAAATAGTATCATGTTTTCCTTACGTTTTAAAGCGGGAGGGTCGTCATCTACGCACAAGCGGGAGTCCCAAGCGACGATAACAACACACGCTAACAACGCAAAGACTCATGGGTAGACGCTTGTTTGTAAACAATGACTCGCTTTGGCCATCTGATGCATGCGCAGGTGACGACTCCCCCACTTTAAAGACTATTGTATTTGCTCTAGTACATTCGCTAACGTATATATCAGAGGGCGTCTTTTGACAAAATAAGTAATATTTAGATAATCTTGTATATAAAAAAAGCAATGTTTTGGTTTATGATAAAAGCACTATTGATGGAGCAAATACGGTATATATATTTTTTTCATTTAAAGTATACAATGCACATTGTACATGTACATGTATTACAACATGGCACGTTGGTATATAAACAAAGTATGAGTGCCGTCACTACAGTCAGACACACCACTTCCCACACTGTCATTACCAGGACAGCTCAAAATGGCATGTCACGAACACCACCCACTGTGAATAGCAGACAAAGATGTTTTGGGTTTCGCCCATCCAACATCATTTCTCTGACATGGCAGGTCTGGTTTTGTTCGAACTTGTAATTTTTTTCAGTTCAGTGGGTAGCACGTCATAATCTCCTGACATTTAATTATAATATACATATTTAACTGTTTATATTTCATTCGGTCTCCAACAACACACTTTGAACTAGCTGTGTCATTGACAATGAATTGTAAATTGTGGTGTGTTTTTTTTTAAATAGTTTTTTCAATCAAATAGATAATCTCAAGTTGTTTGGAAGATAAATGATCACTGTGAATGTATGCTACAATTCACGAATTCTTTAATAAGACAGTATAAGCTGATTTTTACTTTAAATTGTTTGTTGTGATGCAGACTACAACATATGTGGACACTTGAGAATGATGCATGAACCGTATCGACTATTGTACTATGATATTTTCTTAGCGATTTTCACCCAAACCCAGTGGGAGTAACAATTCAAAACATGATATTACTTGACGCCACCAATCAACTTTCTTTAATAATCAAGTTATACAGTGTTAGAAAATTTTCAAATATACCCCATAACAAGTATATTTCGCTGGTGAACTTTTTTGAAATCTGACAACAGATACAGTTAGGGTAGTAATTAAGTTAATAGTACAATTATTCTATTTATACTTCAAGTTGACAATTACGTCATTGTACTATAGCAATTAATGCTAACACAATGAGCACAACTATGTAAAGTATTTCGAGTGACTGGTAAATGTTGAAGCTGTACAAATAGTTGTTTATCCTTTTAGCTGATGCATTATCACTATTACAGTTTCGAATATAAACATTTGTACTATCACCATGGCGACATTTTTACTTTTTGTATGTTATTTTTCAATTTTATATAACAATGTCACATTTCAACCTGACCACATTTACTGCATATTTATAAGAACAAATGTCAAATTGAAAAAAAAAATCATTATATTCATAATTAAAAATAATTATATGGCTAAATTAGTGCATTTTCTTGTGATGTACAATAATTTAAAATGTTTCTGATGATTGTATATTTTGAACAGTACTGTTAATTTCTGTTCTGTAAGTAATTTTTCCTGTCAATGAAATATTTAATATAATTTTATATCCCCACAACAAACTGCTTTATGTTTGCAACATACATAGATATGCAATATATTTATAGAAATTTGATTTACGAATGCTTGTTAGTCGTGTGTTGTAAATTGTTCACATGTATGTACGCATTCATGTTTAGTGCATCATGTGATTCAAACAAAGGAAAGATTTAGCCATGTGCATATCATCTAGTTTTACAAACAAAGATGGTCAATTGGATTTTTTTTAATAATACATATACTCAGTGTATCAACTAACTAGTTCTGTTTTAATTAGTTCTATTCTGTGTACAATACACTCAGTTCCAAGTGGCCAAGTCATTTTTGTTTACTGTGTGCTATTTAATTTTGAAAAATACATATGCATTGACCTATTTGATGGACCTTCATGTTCAATTGGGGGTAATGTATTACCATTTGAGATACAGAACAACGTAATCGAATTTGAGAATCGTCTCGTTAATATTTACCTGTTGATTGTTGGAAATTTGCCACTATATAATACATTTACAAAGGTCGTAGATAAGTATTGTGCAACAGAAAAAGCTTTCATTTTCTATTCCACCGGACGCTTAAAGATATACGACCAACCACTTAGTATCTAATACGCATGTGATGATCGAATATTTCAGTAATCGAGATTATCACTTCTATAAAATAAAACTCAGAACATGTTTTTTTTAAATTTATTCTTAACTGTCCCTCAACACAATTATGCTATTTAAACATACAGTGACAGTTCGAAAGCATCCGTGAGATAACATAAACCTGTTATTTTTTTAAATCGTCACTATGGCTACTAACTATGTAATGTTTCACTTTGATTCAGAGATTAATATGTATTTATTGTAATTTATAAAAATAATCGTTTTTGGTAACCAACAACTATTGAAAGACAACATCCCTGACATAACAAAATTGTTTGGGTAAAACGTTGTTATAATGACTATATATACATACACTTGCACTTGCACAAGCATGTAGAAACGTTTAAATGCGCTAGAAATACTTGAAAACTTCCACAACCTTGATTTTGTTATTCCCCAATAAGATTACGTACGCCCTACTCTGATAGCCATTTTGAATTGAAAATTTTCTAATGTCAACGAGGTTCATAATTCCAAAACTAGTATTTTTCTTTAGCCAGTCACAGCTTGACAATCTGTTTCAAATATATTGGCCACGTTCATCTAGGCTGTTGAAAGTAATTAATGTGATGATTGCTTATTGTTTAAGTGCCATGGAAAACCAACGTGAATAGTAATTCAAGATACTTAACACTATGTTGGTTGACCTACAGTATTTCAAAGTGTATAATCGTGGAAACGGCAAAAAAATAATTACATAGCCGCTGTCACATGCATTAAACAATAAATGTTTTTTTTTGTTCACTGCAAGATCAATGCGTATTGCGTAAAAAGCGCCGACCAAATATCTGTCACAAAAATCGAGTGATTTGATTTTGATTTCTGTTTTTGTAGCCCAATATAGAAACATGGATCTTCCAGAAAATTACATGGTGTTCAGATACCATTATTTAATCAAAATGGATTATCATCAATTGGTATACCACATTCTTAAGCGTGAAAATACACAAAAAACTACTTTCGCGTTTGCCGAATCCCACGCGATATTCTATGCCCTTCGTTTGTCCTGCTTTTACGTTCGATTTTCATATCATCATACGTTTTAATGATTTCAATTCTGAGTAATCAGTTTTTAATTGTTCAAACAGTGTTTTTTTGTACAACATTATTGCTTGAACTGTGTATGATATCTGATATGTAACAAGATTTATCATGTAAATGCAGCATAATTTTACACTTGTACTCCATATTGAAGATGTTCTATTCATAAATAAATGTGTATTGAAACATTATGCCTTATGTGGTGTTATGTTATGTGACTTTACTGATTATGAGTGTAGTAGCAATATTTATATACAGTAAAAATAATAAATAATATCATTGTGTTTTTTATTTGGTTCATTGGAATTTATTACGTTTGTAAATTGTGAGGTTCCGGTGATACACAGACTTTTCTGATCAATTTGTTAAGTTTAATATTTGTAAGATCATGTAAGGTCTAAAAAGAATTCATGAAACTATTGGCTTAGTTATCAAGTTCCTGGAACCACAGAATTACTTTAATTGACTGACCAACGTAATTAGGTATGCAGTTCTTGGAATCATAAAAAGTCTTTCATAGCTTCATGGAGAAAGTCTTCATGGAGTTTCAAATCTAGTTATTTTGCAGTTACCCAGTTACTGCTATCTATATTACCGGTAATTCTGTTCATGGGATTATAGAATGTCTTGCATGGCCTTTATAAAATAACCAACCTAATTAGATGTGCAGTTCCTGGAACCATTGAAGGTATTTCACAACTTTTATGGAGTTTCAAATCTAGTTATTTTGCAGTTACCCAGTTACTGGTACCATTGAATATCGATATTAATTCAGTTCATGGGATCATAGAAGGTCTTGCATGACCTTTATGAAATAACCAACTTAATTATTTATGTAGTTCCTCGGATCATAGAAGGACTTGCATGGTCTTTATGGATTTACAAATCTGGTTTGTTATATACAGTTACTCGGTCACTGGTGTTGTAGAACGTGGAAGCTGCAATCTCTCACTTGTCTGCTAGCAGTTACAGATCCACTGAGTGTACATATCAATTAAGCCAATTGGGTCGTCACAATAGTAAATAATTTGTTGTGTTACCTGTATTACATGTATATACTTGTGTAATATACGTGTGACATTTCTATAGAGCGATTTACTCAGTTAATTAGGGCAACCATAGGTTCATCCATTAACCAGTGCAAACAATACCGCCATTTTAGTGTTTGTCACGTGCGTAATGCCAAGACACGTTTTTCTACATATCATGTACAAACGTTTTCTCAAATTTGGTGTTTGTCGCTTGCGTATCCCTACCTGACCCGATCTTAAAAATAATGCCAAGACATTTTTGTCCATATCTCGTGTGCAAACGTTTTTTTCAAGTTTAGTGTTTGTCGCCCGACCCGAAAACTAATGACATTACAGATGAGTGGGTGTAAATCTTACCTGACCCGACCATAACCTAAATACTAAGACAACTTGGGCCTACTTCTCAAGGTGCGATTATCGCCGCCAATTAGGTGTTTGTCGCTTTTGTAAACCATACCACAATACAGTGGTTGATGCATTCATCTGCGCTGCCTGTTGGTACTTATTTACCGAATTTCCAAAGTTGCATTGTAAGTTGATAAATTAATCTAATAAATATACAGGAATTATGGGATATTTGATTAAATTACATGATTTCTTAAAATGTTATAATATTAATTGCTAATTTCGAGCCTTAATCAACATCTCCACCGACAGAACTACTACACCACAGACTATATTGATCTGTTTTTCGAGTATTTTTCGTAATATAGGACACACCATCGTAACACTTATAAATGGAATATCTACTATTTTTGTATGGTGACGTTTTTGGGCGGTTTATCGTTCTCTTGTGATATTGTTTGTTTACTTTTTATGGTCCGACATTTTTAAGTTATGTTATTCACGTTTTACAGGTAGCTCTGAGCGGGCCTCGAACTCACTGCGCTTACAAGTTACTTTTGTTTACCTCGATGTCCCGACAGTTGACTGCAAATTAAATGAGTGGGAAAGCCAAAATGGTTGTTTTAGTGTGAGTGTTTATTTATCGTATGATTCGAGCCCTCGTTATTTGTATTATGCAGTTTTTCCTTTCCCACGTGTGCCATGTCGTAATATATGACCATTTTCTAGTTTCATTCTGTTTCTGTGTTTGTTGAATATTGTTTTTCTCGCGTGTCACGCCATGACCTGGTTTCTAATATTCAAGTGCGTGACCGACGGGCTATATGATCGTCATATTTAACACGCTGGGATATGTTACCGTTATTGTCAATATATTGTCACGTGATTTGATCCACCTTGTTGGTATGTCTTATAGCGGGCGCAAACACGATTCGTACGGGTAACTTGCAACTTTCCTGAGAAAGAATTTATCGATGTTCCAATATCCATATCAACTTCCCCAGACGGTGGAGGTGACCGTAAGTAGGATTTGTACGGATAATTTACAACTGTCACTCTATAGTTACAACAATGTTGAAATATGAACACAAATTAGCCATATAGTAATACATTAATTATTCACAAATTAAGTGGCGCCAGGGAAGTAAGATTATCACACAATGTAACAAATGGTTTTCATAACATTAGATCATTTGGTAGCACCAATAAAACATTTCCTTTCTATGATTGCAATGAGCATATGAACTTTTCTAGGTAATTTGACAACTCCCTGTACAAATCTTGTTTGCACCTGATGTAAGTATCTTTGTTGTAATTTATAAATACTAATTCGTATATTCCGAACAAACGACCGATCGAAGGAAACGTACTCTGTGACGTAATCAAGTCGTGTGTAGGTAAGTCTTCTGTGGTCCGGACCCCAAGAACTCCCCTAGATCCGCCACTGAGACCTGCCCCATTATTGTTTAAATTGATTCAACTGTTTACTCGTCATTACATGTATATTCTTGTGCACACTCGGCGAAAAATATACAGTCTACGCAGATCAAGTTTGCTTTAAAGCAAATGCTGTTACTATGCTATATTTCTACAAATCAAATAATTAAGACACACTTAATCCGTCATCCTCGTAAAATCCAACATTGAAAAGACGCAAAATTTGAAATGTTCACCTATTTTTGCTCTCAAATTTACGACATGTTAATTTTTTTGTAAAATGTGATAGTAAACACTCACAGGGGCCTGACGATCTAATCGTCTCAATGCATGGACGTCTATGGGACCGAGCGACTATGTCCCGGTACAGGACCTTGTCCTTGCTCAAAATAATAAAATTATAGAATTAAAACAGTTTAGTAATGTGAAGCAGCATATGTTATTAAATTTGATCATCACGCTCCGAAA